TTGACATACGACGCCTGCTCCACAACCATTTGAAGTAGAGCTTCCGTCCACATATACCTTCCAGACTTGGTCTGGAACTTGAGAGTCAGGAGGACGAGTCATCTCTACAATAAAGTCAGCAAAGGCTTGCCCCTTCACTGCTTTTCTAGGCTCGAAAGTAACTTCGAGGCTCTGTATTTCTATGGCCCATTTGATCATTCGTCCTGACGACTCCATGATGGTAAGGGGCCGCTTGATTGGTTGGTCGGTATACACGACGACTGCATGTGCCAAAAAGTAGGGTTTCAATTTTTTAACAGCCATGAAGAGTGCAAGACCGAATTTCTCCACTAGGGGATACCTCAACTCGGCATTTTTCAGTACGTGACTGACAAAGTAGACCGGGAGCTGACAGCCGTCCCTTTCAGCAAGGAGCACAGCGCTTAACGCATGATCAGAGACGGCCAGGTACATGTAGAGATCTTCTTTGGGCAAAGGGCTGACCAGCCTCGGCAAGGAATGCAAGTGAACTTTTAATTTCTGGAAGGCGGCCTCAGCATCCGGCCCCCATTCAAACCTTGCCTTTTTCTTAATTGCCTAGAAAAAGTATAGGCATTTGTCGCCTGATCGGCTTAGGAATCTCCCCAAGGCCGCCAGACAACCTGTTAACTTCTGAACCTCTCGGACGGTACGAGGCGACTGCATGTCAATGACCGCCTGTACCTTCTCAGGGTTCGCCTCTATTCCTCTCTGATTGATAAGGAATCCGAGAAATTTCCCAGACTCAACTCCAAATACACATTTCTTGGGATTGAGCATGACATGGTGCCGCCTGAGTGTGGCGAAAGTTTCTCGGAGGTCCGTCAGATGATCTTTCTGAAGTTTAGTCTTGACAATCATATCATCAATATATGCCTCGACGTTTCTCCCAATCTGATCAAAGAACACTGTGTTTATCATTCGTTGGAAGGTAGCCGGGGCATTCTTAAGACCAAACGGCATGACCGTGTAACAGTATAATCCCTGATCAGTGACGAAGGTCGTCTTCTCCTGATCTTTCTTCCATAAAGGAATTTGATGGAAACCAGAATAAGCGTCCATAAAACTCATCAAGGCATGGCCGGCTGTTGAGTCGACCAGGTTATCAATTTTAGGCAGAGGGTAACTATCTTTGGGGCACGCCTTGTTCAAGTCTGTGTAGTCTACACACATTCGCCAGGTGCCATTCGGCTTTTTAACAAGCACCACATTTGCAACCCAATCTGGGAAGTAACATTGCCGAATGAACCCTGCATCAAGTAATTTTTTGACTTCGGCGGCTGCCGCCTGACCTCTTTCTTCACCATGGTTCCGCTTCTTTTGCCGTACCGGCTTCTTTTTCGGATCCACAGCGAGTTTATGTACTGCCAGATCAGGACTAATGCCTGGCATTTCATGGACTTCAAATGCAAAGATGTCCTTGTATTCTTTCAACAGGTTGTGGAAGTCGTCACCAAGGTTTCTCAGAGCAGTCGTCCCAACTTTGACTGTTCGGTCAGGACGTGAGTCGTCTAATATCAGGTCCGCATGCTCACCAGCCGGCTGAGGGCGGAACTCATCCGGCCGCTCCTCTGCCAATGATTGCTATTTTCTTGCTTTTCTTGCGGACTCTGTCTGGGACGCCTTTCTCTTTTTGTCGCCTGTTTCTTGAACAGGCGCACTCTCCGTGACATTGTCAAGGTTTGTTTTTTCCCCACTTGACCCAGTGGCCATAACAGTGGGCTTGACATCCGAGAGATAGCACTCTCGGGCCATCCTCTGATCTCCCCTTAGGGAGCCGACTGTTCCATTATCCCTCTCAAACTTAAGCAGCATAAGAGACGGGATTATAACAGCCTTGGAATTATTCAGGGTTGGTCGACCCAGAATCATGTTGTAGGCCGAGAGTTCCTCTACTACTAGGAACCGGACTACCATGTGTCGTCCTTCCCCTTTCTCGCCCAGGCGAATGGGTAGATCTACTCGTCCCAGTGGGTGGACGACTCCTCCTCCAAACCCTATTAAAGGGTGAGAGGCCGGATGTATGCAGTCCGTCTGATATTTCAGTTTTGACAGACATTTGCTGCTGATGAGATCTGAGGAGCTCCCGGTATCTATGAGGATTCGGCCAACTCTCTGGTTGGCCACTTTACATTCAATAACGAGAGGGTCGTCATGCGGCCCCCTTATTCCTCCTAGATCCTCTTCAGTGATGACAATCTCAGGAAATGTATATTTGGACGGCCGTTCTTGGTGAACGGAATTTACATCTAACCGCCTTATATTATCTTTGTTGCCCCTAATAGTGGGGCCGCCTCCTGAGAAGCCGCCTGCAATGGTGTAGACGACTGCATCATCTGTATCGGAACTGTCGGCCTGTTGATTCTTTTTGGCCGACTGCTTTTTTGAGGAAGTGTTCCCCGTAGATTTCTTGACATAAGTGTCAAGATCACCTTGATCAGCCAAGCGGTCTAGGTACCGCATGAGACTGATGCAGTCATTGGTGTGATGACCAACGTCATCATGATAAGCACAGATTTTGTCTTGGTTCCGGTTGCTCGCAGAACCCTTCATGGGGAGCGGCTTCTCAATTGAGAACCGTCCCTTAATTTCTTTTAGGATAAACTGGTTATCCTTGTTAAACACATACTTTGGGGAGTATGGTTTGAATTCTTTTTTCTTTTTCTGAGTCGGCTGTTTAGAGGAATCAGCCGCCCAGACCTCTTTTCTTTTCTCATCTTTGTTGGACGACTGTTTCTGTCGTCCCTCTCTTTTGTCGAACCTCTTCCCGTCCGACTGTTTTATCGTACACAGATCAGTCGCCTGTATATAGGCTTCTGCTTCAATCAAGGCCTCTTGAAGAGTCGCCACCCTTTTTCGAACTAAATCAAATTTGAAGGTAGACCCGTCTTTGAGACCTCTAAAAAAGTCAGTATAAGCTACCTCATCCGGTAACCCTTGAATCTGTATTCTCATCAGGTTGAACCGCCTGATGTAAGAACGAAGCCCCTCCTTCTCGCCCTGCTGAATCGTTCCCAAATCAAGGGTCATTTTCTTCGCAGGGATATTCATGGCGAAGTTGGAGGCAAATAAATAAGCAAGCGTCCTGAAGTTGTTTACACAACCAGTCGGCAGGTTGCCGAACCATTGCTGTGCAATTCCCTTGAGAGTCGCTGGGAAACACTTGCACCAAGTGGGATCATCCAACCCTTGAAGGTACATCAGGTTGGTGAATGCCATCAGATGGTCTTCTGGGTTAGTAGTGCCGTCATAGGCGCCTACTAGAACATTTTTTACTTTGGCCGGCTGAGCGGCTTCAGTAATTTCCTTGGAGAAGGCCGACGGCTGTTCACCAAGTCTAAGCAGCCGTAGCTGCCAGTCCATAGGTTGGACGTTTTTTGCTGCAGGTCCACCAAATGGAGGTGGCTGCATAAAATACTGTTGCGGCACAAATGGTAAGTTTGGTACCGCCTGGGCACTATGAAAGCCGGACTGACGGGAGGTGCCGCCTGACTGACTCTCATGGTACGACTGAGTATGCCTCATCGAGGCATTTCGCAAAATGTCTTGAAAATTTGAAGTAGAAGCCGACTCTGATAATCGGTCACTCTTCTTCTGCTCTAGCAGGTGCCGAGCATCTGTGAACGTTTGCTTTGACCCGTCCGCCTGAATATGACGAACCGGTTTCCTATTTCCCGTAGGATAACAGAGTTTTGTGAAATCAAGAGCAGGTGGCTCCCGCTTCTTGGATTTAGGATGGGGAGTCGCCTCTCGCCCTTGAACTGGCTTCCTCTTCAGTGAAGTGGAAGGTTTCTTGGCCGACTGCTCTTTGACTGAAGCAGGCGGTTTTTTGTTGATCAACTCTTGAATCTCTCCCTTGAAGTCCCTCATAAAGGTCATGAGTTCGTTCCTTGTGATGGGAGCAGACCCATCAGTCGGCTGTTGCCGAGCAAGCGGTGCGCCTGCTGGCTCGCTTCCTGTTTGAAGATGCTCCCGTTCCCTCCTTTCGGTATGACGGGTACGTCGGGCCCTTAGGGTCCCGTCTGGAGCTATATGAGTTTCAACTTCAAATTCACTTTCGGTATCATGGTCCGACTGAACTTGAGGGTCGTCTAGGGGACGCCTCTCTTCTGGAGTCGGTACAGACTTGGATGCCATCTCTGAAGTACTCTCCCCACAGACGGCGCCAAATGTTTCGGGGTTTTCTGATGTCCTGCGGGAGAGTTACAATTCCGAGACTGGAACCGGACGCCTGTACCTGCAAAATAACGGAGACTCCTGAGAGCTCCGCCTCCAACGGTCAAGTTAGTACCTGATTAAGGAGTAATTAATACGGAAATTAAAGTAATAAGATCTCTCTAGGTGAGAGTGCTTAGTGTTGGTAATCTGCGTCGTTAGCGAGATTAGCCGGTTGTTGGTGTTCCGTAATATCTCTGTTCTTCTCTGCTTGATTTCTTGATTATTCGATTACCCAACTAATGAGGATTAATTAAGTATTTATAGCCTTGAGAAGCGTGCCACTCTCTAGGTTTAAGGTAAACCTAGGGCTGATCGGGCCTCTAGACTGGATTGGGCCTTGATGGCCGGTTTTCCCATTTGGCATGGGTGGACACGTGGCGTGTCTAAATTGGTCCGTAGAGGACGTATCTGTGATTGACACGTGGCAGGCTCCTGTTGGCCTTCGTGAAGGACACGTGGCGGAACCTGGTTGGTCCACTTGTCAGACGGTGATTGGTGGATAAAAATCCCCTAATCACTAGCTACACCAAAATCTCGTACAATCCAACTCGGCCCAATTAGTGAGTAAGATATTAATGCCCTCTTGGAAGTTGCAAGTGATAAAGGCAAGAAAAATCCCTTCTCTAAAGTGCCTCTAATAAATTTCTATAATCTTAAAGTCGCAAAAGTTGTGAAATTCAATCTTTTTCACTTGACCAAACTTTACTTGATATTTGATACGCTATTTAGAACCCGTGCTCCTATCTCTTGTATTCGAGTTGTTCAACCTAGAATCAACAAAGTGTTAAAATCAAAAATAGCCCCACCACACGATAGATTCCACCCAAGAGACAAAAATTGCAACCCCCCTCAAATAATACTATCCTCTTTAGTTGACACCAGGGAAGGCTCTTTCTCTCATTTTCCTTGTATATTTCAACTAAGACTGCTTCCCCCTAAATATCCATTATTTTCTCCTTCACTATAAAATTCATATAATCCAAAAAAAAAAAAAAAACAATAATTTATTCATCAAATACAACATCCTTACAAATTTAACATGTCACCCACTGCTGAACCTTTTCAAGGTACGTTCATGCTCCCCTCTCCTCTTTTATATTCATTATAAAATACGAACTAATAGAGCTGATCATATGTCCGGATCAGGGTCATAGCACGTTTAAATACAAAAAATATTGTGTCCAAAACCGCTAAAATCAAAATAGGCCCAATCGGCCTAGCTAGTCAAAGACTATAATCAATAGTCTAAATGTGTACTTGAATCGAATCATATTTGATCAGCTCTATATATTACTATCGTATAATCATATTTATAATTTGTGGTACGATGGATAATACAGTTGAAGGGGTTGACCCAACAGAGCACCTACTCATTAGCATTGAAGATGATAACAATATCGTCAATGATGATGATAAGTTAGAAAAGAAATTTGAAATAAAGAATTTGAGGAAAGTTTCAGATAAAGGGGTGTGCATATTAGATGGGGTAAACTTGAAGATATCAAGGGGTATGATCGTAGGGATCATTGGCCCTAGTGGTAGTGGCAAATCGACGTTGCTACGGGCGTTGAACCGGTTGTGGGAGCCGCCGGCTGGGACGGTGTTTTTGGATGGCCGTGATATCTGTGATCTTGATGTCCTCTCCGTTCGCCGTCGTGTTGGCATGCTCTTTCAACTCCCTGCCCTATTTCAAGGTAAATTGTTAGGTTACTTGGTCTTTTATTTTTATTTATTTTTTTTTTTTGGGTTTGGAGTTTTTTTTTTGGTTGGAGTTGATCAAAATGGATAACAAATGTGTTGTTATCATGATTCTAATTTGGATATTTATTTTGAAAGTGTATTTTTTGTATTGGGTTTCTTACCATATTTTGTTTTTAAAGTGAGTTTAAAGTAATAGTTAGCGTAAATTGAGTGGTTAAAGTTATATACAAGAGCTAATGAAAACAAAATAAGTCGATGGTTATATATGTATGGAGTAGTAATTAATGGTTTTGCGGATAATTTGGTTGTTTGTAGGAACTATAAATCCAAAAGTTTGGGAAATGTGGCTTTAGTTGTTTACTTGAGCTAAATAATGCAAATTGACTAGCTTAGATCCATGAGTGAGCATTGAAATGTAAGTTTGTAACATCAAAAATTGATTGTTATTAAAATATTAATGCTAAATTGTTAAGTGCCGTATATGGTACAGAGGCACTAAAGCAGCCAGGGACCGAGGGTGAGAGTGTAGGTCCACACTTCCTTCTCGATAAATAGAGGGATTCATTTACTTTTATCTACAATAAATAAGTACTCCGTAAATCATTGATATATTGGAGAGATTTGGAAAAAAAATATTACCCTCTATCCCACTTATTCCCTAGCTTCTTAACCCGTCCTTTCAATTATTTCCCTCTCAATCTCCTCTCTCTTTCTCTCCACCAGTGTTATCCAAACATAGGGAAGGATTTAGTGCTTTTTTAGTTCTTATAACACAGTGATATTGATTGAAGACCAACTTTCTTGATTTAAGTCAAAGTATCACTAAGTACAAGTTTACACATACCTAACATTATTGTTTATAATATAGCGTATGTATCACTAATTATTGTTTATTGTTAAATTTTCTAGGCAAAGAGTAAGTTCAAATTTTAACTAAGCTTAGAAAGTACTTTGATAAGGTACGGTTTAAAAAGGAATTAAGAACTATTTTACGACTGAGGGAGTGTAATCTTGTTTCGAGTAAGGCAAGCATGAAAACTTTTAGTTAGTCATCTAATATGCATTTGATGAGATTTGATTCTGAATTGCGAATAAATGTTTTGAATACGATCTTGGATTCCCCTGATGAGAGTTGGTCTAAATTATTGAGCTAATAAATTGCTTAACAATTCTTAATTGGTTTCATTCAGTACATTTCCCTGCTTTAATTTTTTATAAATTGCAAATTGATGAAAATCCATGTTGGTCCCCCCCCCCCTCCTCTAAAAAAAAAGTAAGTCTATGTCAGTCTAACTTGTTCTAATTTGACAACATTCGGTAATGTTCCAAATTATCGAATAAACTAGTTTATGAACAAGAATTTTATATTGCTCGAGTCTTGAAACATCACATGGTGACATGAAATCTTATGTGGTGGTACGTAATTGACTTGTAAATGAATTACACATGGAGTTATCCAGATTAATATCTAATCAAAACGTATGTGAAAAGTAAATTTTCGAAATAAATCTTGTGTGATTTATCTTTAGTATATTATTGTCTACGAAATGAGTCGTTATACATTGCAAAATAGAGGAGATATTATGCAATGAATTTTCCTGATTGCAAGTTTGAGTTTCGATTAGGATTGTTTGTTGAAAAATCTGACGACATTAAATTGACGATTCAAATTGCAGGAACAGTTTCAGAGAACATACGTTATGGACCAAAATTGAAGGGAAAAAAGCTAAGTGATCAAGAAGTGCAAAGATTGCTAAATGCTGCTGATCTTGACGCCTCTTTTATGAACACGAATGGGAACGAACTATCTGTTGGACAACAACAACGAGTTGCACTCGCAAGGACCCTTGCAAATGAACCCGAGGTAACAACAATGACTTACATTCATATAATGTATGTCCAATTTCATGGCTTACACGAATTCTAAAATTTGAGATCATATTGTTTAAAGGTTTTGTTGCTAGACGAACCTACAAGTGCCTTAGATCCAATATCGACTCAAAACATCGAGGAAGCACTCGTGAAGTTAAAGACAACCCAAGGGATGACAGTGATCATGGTATCCCATAGCATAAGGCAAGTGCAAAGAATAGCTGATATAGCTTGCCTTTTGGTAGATGGTTCTGTTGTTGAAGTTTTGCCGCCTAATCAACTTTCCGATGCTAAGCATCCAATGGCTAAAAGATTTCTTGAGCTTAGTTCTTAATAACCAAATTAAGAAATCCTTGCAATTAAGGAGAGAAGTTCTTCAAATATGAAGAAGATTATTACTTAATAGAAGAAGAAACTTCCTTGATTTCGATATAAAAGACTGATGTAATTGTATAATGGCACCTAATAACAAGTTAGTGTATTTTGGATAATGTGCTTTGCAATGTGATACAGAGTACAGAATGCATCGGATATGTTCTCTTTTAAGATTTAATCCACTTTTCAATTAATTTTATTGGAATCATATTAGGTCTATGACTTCCTTTCACAAAAAAAAAAAAAAAAAATAGGTCTATGACTTGAGTAATGTTGTTTATATTAAAAAATAAATAAATAAATAAAATAGAAAAAATATAGTAGATTTGTTTAAGAAAATCAAAATTATTTAGAGTATTATTAGATTCTCTCAAAGTCTATTTATCAAATATCAATTTGTTACAATTTTTCTTATATTTAAAGTATAACTGAAGATATTAGAATTTGAAATTACGAGTAGTTGACAAATCTGCATATATGAAATGTGCCAATTAAGATGAAACAATGAAGGAAGTAGTAATTAGCGTAGTGAAAATTATCACTAGACCTAACTTAATTTATGTGAAAGATGACTAGTTATTTGAGTTACCAATTTAAAAAAAGTCTTTAACTTATTCCCTGCAACGCAAGAGAATAATTATCCTCTTCATTTTTTATAAGTACTTCATTTTTACTTTTGCACTATTCACATGCATCACTTGAACCAATATTTGTGATTTATACATAAGAGTAAATATAGTCATATTAGTACGAGTAATAATCATTTCAATATGTATTTTTCAAATTTCAATAATTAAAAATACTAGTTAAAGCTCCACATCAACAAATGTGTCAATCAAAGAAAGACAAATTAAAAAACAGAAGGATTTTGATTTTTGCAAATTTTATATGAAATGTGTAACAAGTTTGGTTATCACAAGTTTTGAAACTCAGGATCATAATTGCTGTGGGTACCATTCTGATTGCCTCTTACATGATCTTCTCTTACAGAATGACAATTCTATAAGGCTGAAAAACAAGCTCTCAAAGAAGGAAGATCAACCAATGTCAAATGCAAAACCCCGAACTTCATTAAGATCTAAGACACACTTTAACCATAAATATTCATCAATATATAAAAATAAATTTTAGAAAACATTTACAAGAAAATTTTGTTAGAATCATTTCAAATGTGTAATTTCAAGCATTAAACATGCAATTGAATATAAATAAGATAACTAAAAAAGGACATAAAGACCAGTGGTAGATTCGGTATGGGTTCAGTTAAACCCACATTATATCCAAAATAAAAAAAACTGATTGGTTTTCTTATACAAATCGGTCATTGAAAATGGACTATATAGAAAACAAAGCGCTAATTTTGTAGTATTCTTTGGCAACCTTACGATAAGGGATCTTTTATTTACTCGTAATATCAATGGTCACAAGTTCAAATCTCCTCAATGACTTACGTAAAGAATAAATTGTTTAATAGGAAGGGTAATCAACTATGGAATGATAGTTAGTCATATTTATTGAAAAATATTTTTTTTTTAATTTTTTTTTCCTGATTAAGGATGATAATATAGTAAATCGCTTTTAACTCCTCTAGTTCAAATGCATTTTGTTAAAATTATATGCACACCCAAAGTATTATTTGGAATTTCTATTTTAGATGATTATGCTATTTGACTTTATTGTACATGTTTAAGGATTTTGAACCCATAAGAAATTTTTTTAAAATCTACAGACAGAATAGACTAAACATCTGAATCTGCCAGTGAAAGAGAGAGTAACCGTTCAATGCATCTGAACGCACATTCGATTTCTCCATTAAAAGAGAGCCTATTCTTACACTCCATTATTTCCATTTAATTATTTGTTGCAAAAATCTTCAAAATTTAAAGAAAGGAGTGGCAAATGCGGGAAGAAACGAACAACGCGTTAAAACTAAGCAACCCAAAAAAGCATAATATACTTGAAATAAATACGGTTGTATACTTGTATTAATATAAAGTCAATGCCTTGTAAAATAATCAATTAAAACTATTTTAGTCCAACAGAATAAATAAATATACAAAATAAAAATATTAATAAAGCAGCCAACGTCTGTGAAAATACAAAATAGAGAACAAAGATCGAGCTCCTACTGTAGGACTCCTATTTCCATTTTCTCTCTCTAGTTTCCCTCTCTTTCTCTCTCCTCTCAAGCTCCTCATCAATGGCGAACAGTAATCTACCTCGAAGAATCATCAAGGTTTGTTCTTTCTTTTACTTAATTTAATTTTCTGTTTTTGATTCATTTTTAAGCGATCATTTTGTAAAATTTGTACAGATGAAAGTCTAGGGTTTGTGCTTTTGTTTGTTAATCTTGATTAATTTGGTGATTTTAATGGAGGAGATTTCGTGTTGTTTTGCTCAGGAAACCCAGCGTCTCCTCAGCGAGCCAGGTTTTTCTCTTTCTCTCTCTAAAACCTTAGTTTTTTTATTGTTTGGGAATGTGTGTGCAATTTATAGTGGATTAATTGTGATTATTTTTGTGTTTTTATGATTAAATAGGATTGAATTTTGAGGTTGATCATGTTTGTTTTTTAATTCTGGGTTTGGTGGGTTTTGGTTGCAGCTCCGGGTATAAGTGCTTCACCTTCAGAAGACAATATGCGATACTTCAATGTTATGATTCTTGGACCTTCACAGTCACCATATGAAGGTATAATCATAGTTTAATCGTCTTTCGGAAAAGTTAATAAGTTTTTGTTTGATGTGATTGTGGTTCTTCAACATTCTTTTATGGTTTTTAGGAAAATGGGATTGTTTGTTTGATGTTTTGGGGGACGAGGGAAGAAAGGGCTTGTAGAGAGTGAGTGGCAGGGTAGTGTTTGCTAGGTGGCATGGGCACAAAGCTTCATCGGAGTTTCTTGCATGAGTTATCGTTCTCGCGTCTGATTGTGTGGGGATGGGAGTTGGGGGTTGATGAGACTTTCAAATTAGGGATTTCCCTTGGGAATTATGCGGATAAGTCACTCCAACTGTATATGCTGACATCTTTAGGAAGACCGGCTTTTGTTTCTTAGTCTTCTCTTTCACTTGTTCTTGGTTATTCGATTTCAGTTGTCTTCTATAACTCTTAGTAAATAACAGAATTATCTTTTAGCAATGCAGTTTTTGAAGTTTGAATATGATTCACCTTGTGATGCATGACCACTATTGATTTGTGTAAGATATCAGTCATTCTCAGGATTTTAGAATAGAAGCTTTTTCTAACATGTTGCTGTGGCTATAACCATTCTTCTTGACCCATTATACTCAATGCCTATGATTGTAAAGCCATGGGACCTCAGTTCTTAGGCATGCGTTTTTGGTGCGTCGTAGGTCTGCTGTAGTCCTCATTGAGTACAATAGTTGAGGTGCACAATATCTCTCCCGTTCTATATTGTGCTTTATTATTTGGTTTCCTACTGCTGTTATGTTGTCTATCATCCTCCTCTCTTCCTTTAGCTCCTACCCTCTGCTCTTCTCCAATCATGTTCTCTTTTCTAATTCAACCTTTTTTTACATCAAAACCTCCCTTATTAAGATGGCTCAGGGTCTATCATATATTTTTTTCAAGGATTGTATTGTGAAACAAAAGATATAGATTTTTAAGGAATAGAAGCTGCTTAGTCCTTCGGATTAAGGATGTGGGCTTTTAATGTAAATGGGGCTTCCCTTTTGAGGCTTGACTAATGGACCATAGCCACTGGTTTCCTAAGATTTGGTTCCATGTAGTGCTAAAATTCGCGCTTACCTTCTTATTTAATATCAGTGCTGAACCCATGAGCCTAACGCTTAGGACCCAAGATTTGCCTTTTTATTCTGTACACAATTTTTGCTTTGGGAATCAGCTGGTAGGTATGATATTCACTTGTGGTGCTAAATGCGGTTGCCTTATTATTGTTGCTTTCTGAATTTGCATAATTCTTTGATTGGTTGTGAATTTCAGTTAACGCCATACTCTTCATTTTTGTTTCTCTTGTAGTCATGTTTCAAAAATGCAAATAGAAATGTTCACTAAAATTCTAAAACTTATTAGCATTTGATTCGGTTCCAGATTTTGACGCTAATGCTCCAAAATTTTGTTCCTATTATTATGTACAGGAGGAGTCTTTAAGTTGGAGCTATTTTTGCCGGAGGAGTATCCAATGGCTGCTCCGAAGGTATGTCAAACTTCACCTGCCAAATTTTTACTGGTTTTCCAATTGTGGTTCTGGCTTCTTGCATATCATGCAGATTGTACTTCTGGATCTAAAATTTATTAGCACTGAGCCATTGAGCCTTCTCATTAAATTTCCCATGGAAAAACCTTTATAGCTTTTAGAGTTTAGACCTTTGATTTCCTAATAGAGCTGAATTTTGGAAGAGGAACTGTTTTTAGATATTTATGTCTGTTTACAAAAAGAGCTAAATAGCAACCAAATTTTCTTTTTGATTTATGTCTTTATGAAAATTTAACATAAAACAAGCTCCTTCCTCACCCATCTAACATACTGCTTGTGTCCCACATGGCCACATGTGTATTTGTTTAAACTAAATAAATAGTGAGAACAAAAATAGCCTCAGTGGCTTGAAGCAAGGAGAGAACCAAAGGTGGTTGGTCTTCAACCTTTGATTTACAAAGAAAACTTCGCCTTTCCTCCATTAAAGTCCTAACCATTTCCAATCTTATAGTTTATTATTGCCTAATATCAACCCTAGATCTTATAACGAGTATATATGTATAAGATACCTCAGTTTTATAATGTTAGTCCCACTTAGAATGTTTTGACTATTAAAAATTAGTGGAAATCTTTTAAATTTCTCTCTATATATACTCCCTCCGTATTTTATTACTTGTTCCACTTTCCTTTTGTGGCCGTATTTTATTACTTGCTCCATTTCTTTTTTTTGAAACTTTTAACAATATTTAACTATTTTCCTCACCACTTGTGGTTCCCTCATATCATATTTTAATATTTTTCATATTCTCTCTCCTCCTCACTTATATTCACTTTTGCTTTTTAAATTTTTTTTTTTTTTAATTCTTCTCAACTCCACTTCCATTGTAAAATAATACTTTATATTATTTCTCCTAAAACTCTGTGTCCGGAAAAATGAGAGCAAGTAATAAATTCGGAGGGAATAATAACAAACATTGTCATATGAGATCTAGTTTAATTCGTT